ATGTGTGCTGGGGAGAAGGTTAAAGTAGTATTACACCGTGACCAGGGGCGGATGACTGACCATTTGGAAATTCAGGCACTGCCCGGGGTCAGTAGGGGGGCCCCATGAGATGCCCCTGGTACCTTTTTCATAGGCTTTTTTGAGTTTGGGCAAGGACACAGGGGCCCCATGATCCCCTATTGCCCGGGGGGGCCCCCATGAGTTGTCAGTCCGCCCCTGACCGTGACCAATTATTCTCCATTTCCCTATAGGTCAGTATTACTAGCTGCTCTTTATCCACTTCAATACCGGGCACATATACCCCCTTCCTGCCCAGGACAATTGTCAGCTTTCAGCACTGTCGCACTTTGAATGACAATTGCGCAGTCGTGCAACACTGTACCCCTATGAAATTTTTTATCATTTTTTTCCACACAAATAGAGCTTTTTTTTGTTGGTATTTAATCACCACTGAGTTTTTTTTATTTTTTTGCTAAATAAAAACAACACCTGAAACTTTTGAAAACAAAACCTGCACTTTTCTACCTTTCTGTTATAAAATGTTGCAAATAAATAAAATATCTTCATAAATTTAGGTCAAAATGTATTCTACTACATTTCTTTGGTGAAAATAATAATAATAATTGAATTTGTATTTTTATTTCAAATGTTTCTATTATTTTTTTTATTTTTTATTACAGTTTTTATTTTTTTAACTAATTTATTTTTCAGCACACTATGACCAAAGCAATGCAAGGTTACCATAGTAACATTGAACTACTCTGGGGAATTGATCAGGATTTTCTATTTTTTTTTTTAGCACATTATGATTGCCAATACAAATGTATTTCATTGATTTATTTTATTTTTAGCACATTATGACTGCTAATACCAGTGCATTTAACAATTTATTTTTAGTACATTATGATTGCCAATACAAATGTATTTCATTCATTTTTTATTTTTAGCACATTCTGATTGCTAATACCAATGTATTTAATTGATTTTTTTATTTTTTTAGCACATTATGATTTCTAATACCAATGCATTTACTTGATTTTTTTTAGCATATTATGATTTCTAATACCAATGTATTGATATTTTTAGCACATTATGATTTCTAATACCAATGTATTGATATTTTTAGCACATTATGATTGCTAATACCAATGTATTGATTTTTTTATTTTTAGCACATTATGATTGCTAATACCAATGTATTTCATTGATATTTGCAGTCATTGTTACTGAATGAAACGGATTCATTCAGTCTTTTGTTGTGATTAGCTGTGATTGGGCAAAGCTGATCACATAATACAGATGGGCTGTGATTGGCCCTGTCTGTATCATGTGACTGCCTTGACCAACATAATTGTATACAATGTATGGCATGATAGGAAGCCATCCATTGTATACAATGGACATATGATCTGCTGTGATTGGTCACATGACACTGGCAACGGGGCCGCTGTAGTGATGTCATCGGCTGGTGACAGATTGCGCTGTTGTGTGGCTCGTTATGACAGGACGTCATATAACGCCCAGTCACAACGGCGAGTGTCCCGTCCGGCCGTCAGTCTGCTATAGGCATATGTGGCATTTGACATGTTTTATTAAAGCACTCTGAATGCCAATCAAAGCACCTCTCTAAATAAAATGGTTACCTTGCAGTCTTGTTCACACTGTTGCGCTTGCTTTGCTTCAAGCTTATACCCCATGTCACTTTCTTGGTGCTTCAAAGCCTCCATAGAAGTCTATCACGCTCGCTAACAGAACCTGCAGCATTTGAGGGGCATTTATTCAGAGTTAGCGGCACTTTGTTTTGGAGGTATGTTCACATACTGTACCACGGGGGGGGAAAAAAGGTATTTATCCACTTGAGTTCTGGAAGGTTTTAGCCCCTTCATGGCCAGGCCATTTTTTGCTATTTAGTACTGCGCTACTTTAACTGGTAATCGCACATTCATGCATCACTGTACCCAAATAAAATTCCTTGCATCAGGGATCCCATCAGCGGAAGGAGCCTCTTCTTATAATGTACCTACCGTGTTTCCCCGAAAATAAGACTCTTATATGAATTTTAGGTTAAAGAAATGCACTAGGGTTTATTTTTGGGTAGGTCTTATTTTTTATTGACACCCCCTCCGACGATCCCCGCAGGATGGATCAGATCTGTGGATTGAGCATAATGGATTGGAGTCCGATCCATTATCCTCCCCAATCCGCAGATCCGATCCATCCTGCGGGGATCCTCAGCTTGCAACCTAAATGATCTCTCCACCAGCTCCACAAAAAGATACGTTTTAAAGAAAGCCCCCCCCTCTCTCTCTGCCTTCTTTTTCTCTACTACTCCCCCTACATGACGCTGCAGTGCTGTCACCAGGGTCAGGGAGGGGGATTACACTGACCTGCTGCATACTCTGCCTGCCCCTCCAGCACTGTGGTAGGGATGTGGAGCCTCCCCTCTGCTGAAACTCCGAGGAGAGGTGTCTGCAGTGCCTGCTTCACTGTTCTTCCCCCCAATGCCTGCTTATTTCAGAAGCGGCACATACAGGGACGGACTGAGCCTCTCATGGGGCCCTGCAGTGACCCCCGGGTCCTCAGCCAGCGCCCGAATGGTCAGTTCTCCCCTGGTGCAGGTAGGTCTTATTTTCGGGGGAGGGCTTATATTAGCAGTACATCAAAAAGTACCGCTAGGGCTTACTTTCGGGGAAACACAGTATGTTGGGAGAACTTTCAGAGCTTAATTCAGTGATGGACAGAGGAGCTCATGGCTGCAGGTCTCGTGAGAAGATTGAACTACTGAGACGTAGTTCTGTATGGGATGTGCTTTGCTTTCTGCACTGCTGTGACTTGTAGTTCTACATTGTCTGTGTGGCTTTCCGGACACTGGGACTTTCCTCTGCTCTCCTGTCAACTGTTGCCTGTGTGGTGTTGAAGCTGCGGCCAGGACACACAGCCCTCTGGGGATCCTTGGTGAAGGACTGTCCTCTGGACCTCCTTCTCCATGCCACACTGCCTAGATTTCCTCTACTGAGGCCACTGTTGGCTGGCGAGTCCCTGATTTTCTGTCCTGCGCTCCTGGACTTTGCTGTAGCAGTTTGTGGTCTGCTGCTCACTGGGCCCAGATTGTTGCTCTTTGACTCTGGACTAAGCTCTGCTGTACTTGAGTGCCACCCTGTGCCAAGGACTTAGCCCGTTGTGCTGGACCCCTGCTGTGTGTCCAGTTCCTTGTGCGGATTGACCCTTCGCTTGCCAGAACTCAAATATCTCTGGTGTGTGCCCTGCCTGTTACGAACTTAGCTCTGTCTGCCAAAGTTCTGCCATCCCTGCTGTGTGCCCAGCCTGTGTTACAGACTTAACCCTCTGTCTGCTGGGAGACCTGTCATCCCTGCTTTGTGCCCAGCCTGTGTTACATACTCAGCCCTGTCTGCTGAAGTTCTGCCATTCCTGCTGTGTGCCCAGCCTGTTATGACTTTGCCCTCTGTCTGCTGGTGTCCTGTCATCCCTGCTGTGTGCCATGGACTTAGCCCCATGTCTCCGAAGTTCTGCCATCCCTGCTGTGTGCCCAGCCTGTGTTACAGACTTAACCCTCTGTCTACTGGAGTCCTGTCATCCCTGCTGTGTGTCCAGCATGTTACAAACCTAACCCTTTGTCTGCTGGAGTTCTGTCATCCCCGTTACAGATTTAACACTTTGCCAGTCAGAACTCTGCTATCCTTGCCTTTCAATAAAAGCCATGTGTACTCCTGCTCTCCTTGTGTTCTGTTCCACCCACACAGTCTTTAAACTTTTTAGTCTCCTCCAGTTGAGCAGAACCATCTCCCTAGTAACCAGGACAAATAATGGTGGTTAAGAGGAGAAAGTCTTCATTTTTAGGGCCTCAACTTTATCCAACTGCAGCCTATGCAATGGTCCACTGTAAATCCAACACTTCTGGTATTTTGCACCCCCTTTCCATTTACTGTGTGGTTTCCTCTATAGCCACCCAAGTCACTAAAGGACTTTTAAGCAGAGGAGCTTTGACAGGTGCCCTCTTCCACTTCACATAGGCAGTCAGTTCTCCTCCCACATCTTCTGGGACAAGTCCCAGGTCCCCAAAGACTGCAGGACCATCCACAAAGCGTAGCACGCCTTGCGCAGCCAGCCATGAGGCAAACAGCAGCCTATCTGGCTTGCCCACAGTTGGGATTCCGGAACCGGGAATCTGAAGGCTAGTGAAGCACTAGCCCGGGTGAGGACAGCACTGGAACCCTGGATGGGGAAGTGTACTTTTATTAACAGTAAGCAGCTACAGGACTTGCAGCTTAATTGTTTTCCCCCCCAAAGTGAACCGCTTTAACTGCTGCTCAGGGCTTCATTAAAGTGGCAGCGTACAGTAAATAAGGAACATTGCTGGAGACAATTGACAGCACACACTAATTTTGGTAGCAGTATTAATGTGAATGGTACAATAGCAGGAAAAAAAAATATTTGAACCCTTTAGAAATAGCTGGCACCCACTAAGACTACTAAACTGTCCCAATTTGTCGACTGATAGATGCCCAAACACAGATTGCTTTGTATCCCTTTCTGGCCTTATGCAGGTCAAGTACCCTTGTACATAGGTATTCAAAGATCTTGCTTGGTTCACATGAGCTGCTGCTTCTTATGAAGAGCAATCTTAAAAAGGCCAAGATCACCTTTCTGGACCCGTTATAACTAGGGATGCACCAAATTTTGGTGGCCGAAAAAAAAAAAAAACTTTAGTATTTTTTAAGTTGCTATGTGAACAAGAACATAAAGTAAATGCTATCTAAATCTGACTACAAAAGTGGAAATATACTTTAAAAATGTAGAAATGTAAAAAGATTGGATACTTTGATTTAAACCATTTATTTAAGAAACAAAAATAAAAAATGCACAAGAACATTAACAGCAAATTAACAGTATCTATGCATCACAATGGAGAATTTTTATTTAAAAAACAAAAATTGAAAATTACAGGAGAACAGTGGCAGAGCTTTCCAGCTCATGCTATATTACTCGTGAACGATACGCAAGGGCTCAGCATTGCGCCCAGATTCGTGCAGGAATGGAGACAGATACGGGTACAGCTTCTCCGTGAAGGTGGCATTGAAGGTATAGATGGCGGTCATGTCATCGGCATTGTAGAAGGATATTTGGCCTCCTTCGTAATCCACATACACGCCAATTCTCTTCGGTTTGGCGTCGAGAAGCAGGTTCTTGGATGGTGACTCCAGGGCCTTGTAGGAGTTGCCGTTCCTCAGCCAGATGGCCCAGTAGCCGTTCTTGGGATTCAGCTTGATCTTACCCTTGCGGTTGCTGGACTCACTGGCCATACCGACATCCCAAGCGGTCTTGTCTCCCACATCCACCTCCCAGTAATGGCGGCCTGAATCGAAGCCAGTAGACCCGAGAACAAGGATACACTGGCTGAAACGCTTCGGATTGTCAGGGAGGGGAAGTTTGGTGTCACCGTATTTAACACTGGTCAGCCCGTCAGCCAAGACCAGATTGGGGTGAGCCGTGCTGGGATCCAGCAGCATTGGAGTCAGATCTGTACAAGGGAAAAAAAAAAAAAAAAAAAAAAAAAGTGTTCAAAAACAGCTGAAAGAAACCAGTAAAAAAAAAATCCTACCATTCAAAATATTTAGATAAAAGACAAGTGCTTTCCCCTAAAGAGCAGACATTTAAGATATTGCCCCTCATAGACAGCAATATTTCTCAAGCAGGGCACTTATGTTTTATGACCTTAGATTGTACTTGGGGATAGGATGGTGCCAAATATAAAAAACTACAAAAACAGAAAACACTGTACAGTTTGATACATAACAGCTCAAGAGCTAATTTAAAGCTGAACTCCCAGGAAAAAAAAAAAAAAAAAAAAAAAAAAAAAAAAACCGCATTTAAATCTATTCCTCAATAGTCAAAGAGGATATAAGCCTACTTTGCATTCACCAAAGACCCGCAGAACCAGATTATATAAAAAGTAGCACTGTGCTGAATATAGCCTGAGCAGAGCTGAGGGAGGGACCCAGCAAGCCCCACCCACTACAGGCTGCCTGCAGAAAAATACAGAAGGAGGCGGAGACCAGTCACCCTGCACCAGGAGAGCGAGCAGCAGTGACTGGTCTTTGTTACAGGAAGACCCACATTGGATTAGGAAGAGATCTGGGAAAAAATACACAAAGCTCACCGAAAACACATCTTATCCCAGAGTCCATCCTTAAATGCTCTTTATACTGAAACTCACCAATGTTGGGGGATTTCAAAATGTAGCCATTTGAAAACTTTGCATTTTCATACATTTTGAACAAGATGTTTACAGAGAATGAGCGATATTCAAAGAGCCTATATGAGCAGAGCTATGCAAGTCTCAGGAAAGGATTGGTTAATCTAAAATACTATTTCTGTGGATTTTATGGTGTGCATGTCCCCCCCCGTGTCTGTATCCCCTCCGATATTGATCAGAGGGTTGCAAACAATGTCATCTGTATAGTGGCCCCCAAATGTAATTGGCCAAAATTACCCAGAGGGCCACAAATGTTTAGTATATGTATACATGGGCCCCAACATTAACCATAGGGCAGCAAATAATACTTCATGTATGTATAGTGGGCCTCAATTTTACCCTCCTCGACATAACCAGAGGGTTAAGTTTAGTATATACAATTCAGGAGAAGACTGCAAACACGTGAGGAAGTGGCTAAATGGTTAGCAGGTCCGCCTGGCAGTACTAGAGTCGTTGGTTCGAATCCAAACCATGGCACCACCTGCTTGGAGTTTGCATGATCTCCCTGTGCCTGCATGGGTTTCCTCCGGGTACTCCAGTTTCCACCCACACTCCAAAGACATGCTAGTAGACTAATTGGCTCCTGTCTAAATTGCCCTTAGTATGTATGAATGTGAGTTAGGTACCTTAGATTGTATGCCCCTTGAGGGTTAGGGACTAATGTGAATGAGAGGTGTGTGTGTATATATGTGTGTGTGTGTGTATGTGTGTGTGTATGTATGTGTGTGTGTATGTATGTGTGTATGTATGTATGTATGTATGTGTATGTGTGTATGTGTGTGTGTATGTATGTGTGTAAAGCATGGCGTAAATGGACTGCGCTATACAAGTACCTGAAAAATAAGTTATGGCCAAAAAAACTGGAAAAACAACTAATTAAGTTGAAGATCTGCTGCAGAAGACGGCAAGACTGGGACCAGTACATGAGGCTAGTAAAGATCTCTGCAATGATCCTTTTACAAATCAATGCTCCCACTAAACTCTGGGGCCCTCACCACCAGAACGGCACGTGGCTGCACAGTCTGGACTCCAAGCATATAAGGAGTATTCATTCAAAAAGAAACAAAAAAAATAGCTTAAGAAAATACAACACAGAACACCAAACCATCACGTTGGACATACAAGCCTGCACTTACATGGAGAAATGAAGGATTTTATCTGCTTCCACATAGCGTACTGAACGGGTCCCTTGAAGGTGCCCTGGCAAAGGTCCTTGGAGAGAAGGGTATTCCCACCTGATGTGACTTCTTTCTGCTGCTCCTGGCACCTGGTTAAAGAGAGAAAAAAAAAAAAAAAGTAGAACGCTCCCAAATTTGTTCATTCTCATCAAGACTTAAGCAAAAATAAAAATGAGACTTACTTCTCAATGAATGACTTGATGTCCTGCAGGAATGAAGATAAAAGAAAAAGTTATTTACGGTTCATGACAAACACCATAATGAACTGAAACTCCACATCAATCCCTTCCCACCAGTCCCAGTAATGAACTGAAACACTCAGTATCAATCCCTTCCCACCAGTCCCAGTAATGAACTGAAACACTCAGTATCAATCCCTTCCCACCAGTCCCAGCGTTCCTTTAAACCACTCAATGCTGGGGTTGGAAAGGTTTGGCGATCATGTGACCACTGTCACAGTCCCGCCAGCTACTGATCTTCAGTCCGTCTTTTACAGCTGTCTCTGTGCTGGAAGAGCTCTCCGCACAAACACTGGCCACCCAGCGTTGCATATGTGGGGCGTGCGGGTCTTAAAGCCAGCATTTCACCGCTGCACATGCATTGGCTTGTCGTAAAGGTGCCAATTCAAGCAAGATTCACTTACAGTCAAGAAAGAAATGGAGTCTGTATCGTCCATTTTCTCCTTGGCCACACCGATGGTCTGCTGGATGTTGTCTCTATTCTCCTGCATCTTCACCAGGTTGGTCTCCATATCTTTCAGGAGACTGTCGCCCTTTTCCTGGAGCTGCTCCAGAAGTTTTTCCTCCCGCTCCTTCAGGAACTTGTGCAGCTTCTCGAACTCTGACACAATGTGCTCCTGGAACCCCTGTAGGTTGGTCTGTGGAGGAAGGAAGTAGCGTTAGATACTACTAATTAAACAGTTTTGCAGACTTGTGTCAACCACACAATATCGAATACATGGGCCAGGAGTTGACTTACTTTATGCTGCTCGATCTTCTCATTCTGCTGGTTGGTCAGCTGTTCAGTCACCTTCAGGGCTTCCTCTAGTGGAGACACTATAGAAGACAGTTCTGTCTGCAGGGAACACAACGCTAACGTGGTAAGTAACGTACTAAACTTCAATCTCAGGATTAGCAGTAATATTACATATCACTTACTCTGTACACCCCCACGGCATCCAGGATGGGAAGGAAGTTGTGACTTGCATGTTTCAGGGAGTCACGGCAGATGACACAGCTCAGGGTCCCGTCATCCTTACAATACAGCTTCAGCCTCTCGTCATGCTCGGGGCAGTTCTCGAGGGGGCGGACCTTTTCTTTCCCTACAGGTTTAGTAGGGGTCGGGGTGGCAGCAGCACCAGCAGTCTTCTTCACCAGGTTGGCCAGGATTCGGTTGGTAGTGTATCTCTTCTCGGTTATTTCTTCCTTACAGTCGGGGCACGTAAAGGAATCCCGACCCTCCCAGGCCTTGTCAATGCAATTGCGGCAGAAGTTGTGGCCGCATTCGACCATGACTGGGTCCTTGAAGAGCTCGTTGCACAGCAGACAGGTCAACTCCTCGGCAAAATCCCCAGAAGCCACGGCAGAACCACCCTGAGGGGCTTCATGGACCTCCACCTTTGCTTTCTAGAAGACGAAAAAAATAAAGTAAGGGAAGGCAATCTGCTTCACTGTAGTTAGGAAAGAAGTGGGGTATTAATGTCAAATGCCCATGTGCGAGAATATAGATCAGGAAATCACTTGTTTAACCAAATAAAAGAAGAAGTCTATTAAATGGAATGTCACAGTAAAGAAGCGTCCAGCTGAAAGAATTTAGGAGAAATATTGGTTAAAATACACTCCATCTCTATAACACACATGTACATGCTTTTCATAGACAGACATACACAAAGACAAACCAGAGACCGAACGTATAATCAGACCTGCTAGATTCAAAAGCTCACGTCAAAGTTCAACTGACTTCCCAAATAAAAAACCACTGAGAAATGCAAAGCATCATGCCAACGACCAACCAATGTTTTTTTTGGAGGATCTAAACAAATGTGTTCCAATATGTGCTAAAAATACACTGCGGTGAAATGCAATCTTCACAAAACTGGCAGTGGGGTGAAATCAGCTTCTTTAATTTGTTTCTCTTGGAAATAAAAAATGGCAGCCGTTTTTTTTGGAATGCTGGGGTAGGGCAAGTTTTGACCAAAACACACATTACTGTTGCATCTGAGGTGACCAATACAGGTTTAGAATCTTGATACATCATTGTATTATAAAATAGAAGACGACGGAGATATATATAAAGTGTAGTTTGGTAGTGTAGCTACAACAAATACTAACGTGCAATTCTTTGCTTACACCTTATCGGTATAGACTGGCATTGACATCCGATGAGACCCAGATCAGGTCACCTTACATCTATGGCTAGCTCAATCCTTATTCTGTATTGGTCAACAAAGATAGATCGCAAAGTCTGCTCTGGCTCCAGTTCAATCCACAGCATTAAAAAGGCACACGCCACAATTTTTTTGGGTAAAAAAAAAAAAAAAAAAAAATCACGCAGGTTGAGAAAAACTAAAAAAAAAAATGCATTAAATTGCCTGCATTGGAGCTTGCAGAACATTGCAACTGCAATCACTGCATAGTGGATGCAATTCACAGGCCTATACAAATTCTTCCTTCCAGCCCCAGATACATACAGAGGTATGGGCCTACCAGTAAGGAGCTGGAAAAGTAAACAGACTAAGCGGTGACACCACTGCACTTGTGTTTCACTGATATTTCCAAGTCCCTCTGACATGACAAATGGGACTTCTCTTCACAGATGCTATGAATAGGTGACAGTTTAAGGACTTAAGTGCATCTTCACAAATTTTTATTTATTTTCCCCCAAAGCAAGAAGGTGGTCAATGTTCGGTGACTACATACAGACCACACTGCAGCCGCTGTACAATTGGTAATCTGCCAAATGATGCACCCCAGAGCTGCCTAATCACACAAACCGAGCAAATGGTAAACATTGTGCAAGCGTTGCCTCAGTCAGTCTGACCACCTGAATAAGGGCTCGCCCACTAGAGGCTGAGGAGTGACAAAACTGCAGTTAAGCAGCACTTTTTTTTTTTTTTTTACAGCCCTTTCCCCTGCAGAAGCTAGGAGGTGTGCATATGTTGGGCTTTGTGACCGCAACAGAACTATACCCGCTGTCACTTTTGGCAGGTGTAGAGCCTGATAAGCACCACCCAAGTGAATGGGGCCACTCTGAAAACGTCCCACAACTGTGGACAATGCACATGGCTGTGGCTCATTACTGCAGAGTTCAAGGGTTAAAAGCAGGTAGTGAGGAGGCAAAACGCCTCTCCTCACAGCCTGTCCCTCTGAAAAGTAGATCTGAATGCAAATTGCTTTTCAAAGACCAGAACAAGTACGAACTAGCTTAGGGTGTGTATGCATTTCCCCCAATTTGTTTCATTATGTTTCCAGAACCATTTCTTAGATTTTCCCTTTTGCGATTCATCAAGTTTGACATCTGATGTGGTAAAACCACCAGAGTTACAAACTGTAGAATCATACAGACTGAGGTTTGTCTGTAAATGTTGTGGAACAGAGAGGCCCACAATGTGGTTCTGGCTTTGTTCTGCCTGGGTGAGCATTAAGTGGCGTATTCATCACCCCAGTTCAGCACAGCTTTAGATATTTGTGTGTGTAGTTCTCTGCAGTGCAACACTCAGCAATGTGATGTTAGCTTGTTCCAGGAGTGCAATGCATGTTCAAAAATAACAACAAAATACAAAAGTCACAGCTAAAAAGGAGTATTTATACGTAGCCACGTAGCACGGTTTAAAAGGTGTCACCTATTCATAAAGGGAATGTATAGTTAGTATAACCTTCTCAAAGAGAAAAGTGCAGCGCCTTCTCAGACCGCAAGCATGCACTGCACACTGGAGCATGGGAACATCCTGTAATAGTTTTTATAAAATATAAAGAATGAGATGCAAAATCCAAAAAAAAAAAACAAAAACAAAATAGATTTCCTTTAGTTAATAAATTTACAATCATAAAACATTTCGATGGAAATACATTTTGCTCAGTGGACAAAATTCTGGAAACCTGACGAATAAAATACCCATCACAGCAGGATTCATTCATCATTGGCAAACACAGAAGTCAGCGCATTCAGAAATAAAGACCACGGTGTTTATAGATGTGTTCTTTTATAACTGCAAAATAAGCAGTGCAATGATGGCGATCAAAATTCTGATTTTAAAAGGCATAGTCCACCTCGTGGAAGTAGTCTAAGTGCCCCAACAGTCACAAAAAGGTGCTAATATTTTTAAAACGAGGCCAGCGGAGATTTGCAACTGCGATCAGTGCGTCACAAGTGCAAGGCATGGTTTCCTGCAAAGCCTTCCAGCAGCTTCAGGTCCATATGAAGAACTGCTCACTGAACTACAGTGGTGAGGGGAGTGACCACCATCATTCTCTCTACAGGTTACATGTGCCACGGTGGCAGATGAGACTTTTAGTAAGACAGCAAACAGAAAGCTGGATGATGTGGCTGTGCCGGGGGACCCCCCCACACACACACACACAAGTGTCAAGTTAAAAAATAAAAAAAAAGGTATTCCCCTAGAGGATGCACCAGCAAATTAAGGGAGCGGTGTGGGTTTTTGGGAGGTAAACTGTGCCTTTAAAAAAAAATCATTTGTTAGAGTAAAGCATGTGCACGAGGCTTTAGGACAAGGTCTGTCGCTGCTCACTGCACACTGATCTATGAAAATATATGAATTTCTACAAACTAGCAGTTCAAAGCAAAGGCTTTGACTATTAGTATGCGATGTGTGTCAATAAATGGACATTTATAAAAGCTACAGATAGAAGAAAAAAAAATTAAAGCACAAAGTGAAACACCTCACTTGATTTTGCATTATAGCAAAAAAATAAAAAAAATAAAAAAAAAACACCACACACAAACAGAAGGAAATTACCATAAGAAAAAAAAAAAAATCCTCAGACACAGGATCAAGTACCAAGAGAATAAAAAAAAAAAATATATAAAAAGTCGAACTATAGGCCAAAAAAACAAATGGGCGGACAGGCGGAAATTTTAATACAGAAGAAACATGTTTTGTCTTCTGCATTTAAGTTGTTCGCGTACGCACAGCTCACAGCACAAATTCGACAATGTCGAATCTAACTGCACTACCAGCCCTGCCAACGAAAGCTGCCGGCGATCAAGACCCGGCTGCCTGAAGATGTCAGCGGAGAGGCAAGGAGCTCCAGGAGGCTGCATTGCTGGAGTCAAGGTGAACATAGTTCCACTGTATAAAAGTTACATAAAAAGAGGGGAAAAAAAGGGAAGACTCAATGGTCCACTTGGTGCCATCATTCCAAATTTACAAGAGTGTATAGACTCCAGTCAGAGAATTTAGGGAGAAAAAAAAAAAAAAAAAAAAAAAGTTTAGGGCTCATTCACACAGCAGTGACTTGTGTTTACTTTTTTTCTGCACTGATCACTTCGGGTCATAGAAAACTTTGTTTTCTATGTGTCCTATTCACATTGCAACAAAGACGGGAGGTGCAGACATGTAGCTTTCTACTGGAGCCAATGGATGGCACCTCCTGTCAACACACAGCAGTGTCATTTGGAAAAAACATCACTTTGTGACTATAATGTATAAAAACAAAACAAAGTGTAACAGTGCAGGAAGACACTGAAAGCATAATTCCCCTGAACGCACAGCAGTCTGTATGCATTGCAGCGTGGTGGGTTGTGTGAATGAACCCATAAAAATGCAAGTAAAATAAAAATCGGAAAAGTGGGATCAATGTTGGGTTCCAATTTCAGGAATTGTAAATTTCCTGGAAGCATCTTTACCTATGAAAGCGAGACCCTGGAGAATAAAGCCAACTGAACTCAGCAGCCTCCAGAGACAGACCCGGCACCCTTATGATGTGATCCTCAAATCATAAAACAAATGCGTTTCCGGTCTATCAGCCGGTTACAATGATGGTAAATCACAAAGAAAAGGCGCCAATTTTTTCAAAGGTTTCGATTTAGGCGTCGAGAGCTTGGCGGAGTGGGTATGACAGCCCGCGTTACCTTCGGTTCAGGTTCATCCTGGTTTTTCTGGTCCGTTTTTTTTTCCGTTTTCTGCCGCGTCTCCATTTGGCACGTCCCCTTCTTTCACTGCTTTGGGCAGCACCAATCGGGTTTTGTCCACCCACTCGTTTTGACGGCGAGCCACTGCGGAAAAAAGCGAGCTCACAATAGGTATTTTCATAACAGACAAGATGAGAAGGCGGGGGAGGGAGTGTGGCTCGAACCCCACTTCTACTTACCACAGGATCCCAGGATACTAGAGAAGAGGTGGACAAAATCATCAACGTTTAAACAATTGAACCTTTCACTGGGCATTTCCTTCAGACACCATTTAAAAAGGACTAAATTTAGCAACAACGATCGCACCCATCAATGTGAATTTACCTTTTAAACTTTCAATGTCTGCAGAGCATCACAACTG